ACCAGCATCCTCAACTCTGCCTTCAACCTCAACCGCATGACCAGCATCCTCAACTCTGCCTTCAACCTCAACCGCACGACCAGCATCCTCAACTCTGCCTTCCACATCAACATGATCATTTTCTACTCTCCCCTCAACCTCAACAGGATTGTCGGCAACCGTACCCTTATCACTAGGGGCTGGTAATGGTAAGATCGGTATAATTTCAGCAAAATCTGGGACATGAGACACATAAATATGTACCTTTTTCTCCACCTTCAACACCCCCAAAACATCCCTAATGTCATGATCATTCCTAATAGGTTTCAAACCATTTGTAATTGTTTTTCTTGGTTCTAAATACCATATTTGGTCGACCATATCAGCATCATATCCAGCAATACCAATCTTAGTATAAAGCTCAAACAGTGTCAACTTATCCCTATTAATAATCCAGTCATCACATTCACCATCAACGTATGAAATTGAATTACTAGCTCCCTGTATAAACCTCCCACCCAAATGAATGAAAATTGGTACAAATTTGGTTTCTGCCTCATTTCCTGAATCATGCTCACCCTAATAAATAAAGCAAACAAACAAAATAAATTACTCAATACAGATCTGGTCTGGACGCGAGTCAACACAGCAGACACCAGAAAACCAGCAGCGTTGAAAGCAAAAATTTTAAATTGTTAAGACAATTTTACTCAATAAAGAAATTATTATTCAACCCAAAAGTAAATGGGAAAGACATAAACGACACAACCTTCCTGTTTAAGTGGGGACCTAATGTCCTTTTCTCCTCAAATAGTCATGCAGTTCAACATGCATCAAAATTTTTGCATCACTTTTATCAGACAAGGGTCCATGTTAGTATAAAAAAGTACCCTCTGAATCAGTTGGACAACAATAGAAAAAAGGAGAAGGAAACCCATATCGATACCTCGTCTTCCAGAATCTCTTCGCTTGGTTCCAGGTCGACATCAACAATTTCGGGGTCATTTGGGTCCATCGATCTTGCTTTCGAGTGACTTTTCAACAATCGCAACTTCGATTCCCTTCGCAAATCCTTGGAATCCCAGCAAATCTAGGGTTTGAGTTCGAACTTTGAAGGAGAATCGAACAAGGAAGATAGGACAAACTCTGAGAAAATCTCTGCAATCCCAAAGAGGAGAATCGAAAGTGCAGTGTTCTTTGTTTGTTCTGTATAAGTTCTTAGATTTTTTTTTTCTCCCGAAAGAGCAAGCCAAAAGACATCTCTGCAATCCCAGGGTTTATCGTGTGTTTATTGGAGCTTTGGCAGGCAACGTGGGGCCCATTTTAGTGGATTGGCGCCTTTGGCTCGCGGGAAGATTACATGGCAACACGTTTGGTCCATATCAGCACTTTTTAAATTTTGGCTATCCACGTCATCAAAAAAATAATAAAAAATGCCACATGGCGGACTTAACGGCCCAATTTGACAGAAGGACTAACGGAGTGCATTTCGTA